AATTCTATTTTAAAGTGGTAGAAAAGGCAAACAACATTTCGCTAAGGGCTTTCGTGCTTTTAATATAGTAAATAGATTACCCCACTATGTAGACTCTACATGAGCAATTCTAAATAATTCAAGCCAAATTGAAGATATCATTTTTACTATCATTTAGCAAGAAGATTTATTTTATAGAACACCACTTTTCTACCTTAAGGTTTGAGGTCAAAATGTGGACCATTTTAATGTTCGTTTCCATGGCATAAAATTGTCAATTTTTTCTTATGTTTATAAGAAGTTAGTACTCCCCTGGTCCACTTCACCTGGCCTTTTTTTGTGGTCCATAATATTTGATTTTTTCAAATACAAAAAAAATAATTAACTTCTTTTTTTCAAAGTTGCCCTTAAAGTAAAGATCCTATGAATATTTGTTGTATTTTCAATAAATAAATTAATATTAATATGGTCAATTATATTGTTAGTTAATGCTAAAAGTTTGATTTCTTAATATGTGTGAAAACAGCCAAAAAAATCACTTAAAGTGGAATAGATGGAATAGTATATAACTATATATTCTATAAAATGATCAGTACAATGGCTGGAAAAAACCAGGACAATGATTGAATTTTAAAATTTTAAATTTGCCGGCGCTTTTTAGTCAGCTAATTGACGTACGCTCTAGTTAGCTAAAAGTGCAAGTTTCTTTTTCCTGAAAATTCATCAATTTATCCACTTTCTTTGCATTTTTTTCATTTTTCCGGAAAAAGAAAAATTAAATCACCGACGGGACATTTATTACAGGAGAACATCAGTGAGGTTGTTAATCGCATTGCGAGTTTGCGACTACATTGAACAGATATACACGTATACTTTATATAAAATTTTGTATTACTACAACAGGCCACGACCTTTTATAGTGGCATGTTATTTGTTTCATTTTTAAGTTATTAATCTCATTTATTATTATGGATAGTCACATATAATTATCTTTTTAAATGATTTAAACGTTATAGTTGTACAAAAGCCTAATTTACAACTCAACGCTATCTTACTTCACAAGGAGGCTGTGCCTACAGCAAAGCTCGCATTTGCAGCCAATAGAAAATATAGATTAATTAGGTCAACTAATCTTTTTCCAAACCAACACACAGACACACACCAAACGATCCTTTAGTTATGATCAACCAAAATATCATTTCTTCTCATGTAAGCTGTCCCTTTTCCATAAAAATACACAAAGTAATCATGATTAGATCTTAAATCATGCAAGTTTAGAGTGAGAGATCAGAGTAATAAACCTAGGATTTCATGGTGGAGTTTTCGAAGACCTTTCAGATGCATATTATATATATATAAAAATTAAAAAGGCCCTCAACGCCTTTTAAGTGGAAAGTGGCATTACCTAATTAGAGATTCCCCCTTTTTTGCTACATTTACAAGGCACCTGGCCTAACTCCTTTTGTTAATGCCTGCATGTACTGAAGCTTAATTTAATCCATTTAATATGTTCTTTTCATTTTCTAATGGGAGATCAAGATAAAGAATTGATATTCTTATAGGTAGTAAAAGATTTGCCTACCATGATATCTTCCTAAAGTCACTAGCATACCACTTCCATTTAATTAACTGCAGTTCGATTCTTTTCCTTCTTGCTGTTGAAACTTTTTTACTCAATCGATCCCTTAGTTCAGTAGTTTGAGGTTTTTGTATATATATATATATATTAAAAGATTTTATATATTATAAAACAAATTTAAGCTGTCAAAATGATATATCAATAATCGGGACGCAACTAGCTAACAATTGCTTGCTATCTAATAAATTTTGAAAGTTTGAGTTTGCCAGGATATTATTTTCAGCCACTTTTTTGGTTTCGTCATAGTCATTCCAGGACAATATGGTTGTTACTTGTTAGTATTAAATGTTGGACCATGGTACATTCCTAGTATTGTTTAAAATAATTCAACCCATACATGAATAGTGTTCCAGAATGGAAAAAATGAATATTGCCCTTCAGTAATTTACAGATGATACGCGCTAATGGTTAGTTAATTAGTCCATATATATGAGTTATGATCTATGTACATTGATATGCCATTAACATGACCATGGTTAAGGGAAAAACTTGTTATTTTTTCATCACGACTAAGTAAAAAACTTTGAGCAAGTAAAATTTATAAGGGAGTCACTGTGAAAATTTGACAAGTGGTATGTGTTTGGTACAAAGAAAAATGTTATTCACAGAAAATACCTTTCATGAAAATTACAGGTTTCACTTATTTTCTAATGTTTGTTTTGTATTGGAATATATTTTTTATATTACTAAAGATTGATAATAATTTTAACAAAATAGAACAATATTTTTCTGAAAATTTTGAGATTAAAAATTGATAATAATATCTAAGTGTTAGTTGGAGCAAGTGATATACAGTACTGATAATTGATAGATATAAAAGAAAATGACTTCCATCCATATAGAAGTTTAAGATCTCATCTTCTTAATAAAGAGAAAAAAGTTCAATTACCTGATCTAAAATAATATCTATATAAAATAATACTCCTATTTCGTCCGTCTTTGTTTTTTTACATTGGTCAAGTACAATAGTTTCCAGACAGTCGGTTCTTCTTTGGTCCTACAATTTTATTTAATTGATGAGGTCTACTTCACCTCCAATATAGAAATATAATGGGATAACCCTGGGCTGTCTCTCTTATGAAAGTAAATGAACCTAGGAAAATTCACTCCTAATACTTTCGGTGTACAAGTCTTTGTCATATATTTCTCATCGTCCTTAATCTTGTTTTTAACAGAGATATATTGGAGGAAAATCCAAGGTACATGCATGTTCATTGGCTTATAATATCTTTCAAAACCTAGCTAGCCAAGTATCTTAGTCGTTGTTCGTCACTTAAAAATTTAACGATTAAACTTTTCGAGTAAACTTAATGCATAACGACGTCCTTCTGTTTTTTTTGTCATCTTTAGAGGTAGTACTTGAAGGGTTTGAACTACTTATTTAGTAAGTTATTTAGGGAGTAAAATTGGTTAGTGACAGTTGACGGAATAATAGAGATAACACGTAGAACCAAAGATAGATGGAACGTGAGTCATTAATTGAATGTCACCGGGCGCGAGTGTGTGGCTGGTGTTAGACGGATCCCGAAGGCAGAGTAGCTGACAATAAAAATTCAAAGATTTGATATCGGATAGTATTTAATGAGCAGCCGTTACAGAGAATATCAACATTCAAGACCAACCGTTATGCAGCCATCAATGTCGATTTTATTCTCATTCAAGAGGAGCTTGATTTGAGGATCTTGTCTTCCCAAATAGGGCTATACATAGAAGGATTAACAACCATTGTAGGGAGGTGAAAACATTCTACTCACAAAAAACTATAATCCACTGTCTTGTTACGCTCAATTTGAACACCTGAATATTGCATTTACTTTTATCATCAGAAAAGGCTAAGTTCTTAGTTAGACTTGTTATCTCCTTTAATACCATTCGTTAATTTTATTGTCGTTCTTATTTTTTTTTTTTGGGTCAAATCGATTCAATTGTCTATAAACCACGCTATAAATTTAATTGTACCGTTTTACGGATAAACAAGTTAGCGCTCACCGTGGGGCATAGACAACTGCATAATTGTGTTGATCCGTTCGTTTGTTACTAACAAGTTTTGGTTTTTTCCCAAGTAAAAATCAGATATGGGAGCTAATGAATGGACCAGAATGCGAAGGAGTTTCATGCTCGGATAGATCAGATCCTAGGCGCGCCGCTGGTGTTAAAAGAACTAGATTCGAGGAAGTATATGCAGTTGCCATTTAAATCGAGCGCGGTACCGGAGCTGATCCCGAAGAGGGGCAAGATGCCAAATATTCCAAAATATAATGGTATTTTGAACCCACAAGAGCACATCATGACCTACACCACGACATCAAAAGAAAATGACTTGGCTCAGCATGAAATTGAGTCGGTTTTGTTAAAGAAGTTGGCAAAACCCTCACGAAGGGGGTCCTGGCATGGTATTCGCTTTTATCTGAGCATTTAATCAATTCCTTTTAAATGATTGCATATTCATTCATCAAAGCTCATGTTGGATCAAGAAAGGTCCAGGCCAAAGAGGCGGATATATTCAGATTTCGCAAGGAGAATCTTAGTTGTTGTGGGAATTCGTAATCCGATTTCAGAAGGAAAAGGATGCTGCTACCAGCGGTTCCGGGTGAATGGGCAGTGAAGGCATTCGCGAAGGATCTCAATCCACTGAGTTTCGCTACCTCCCAAAAATTGAAGGAGAGATTGCTCGAGTTTCAGGAAACCACATGGGCAGATATCCACAATCGCTACGAGTCAAAGATAAGGATAGAAGATGATCAACTTGGTTCTTCGGTGTCCTTCAAGGGACAGGGTTGCGATAAAAACCAGGATAAGTTTAAAAATGACTTTGATACAGACCAGAGGTCCTCTAGGGGTCATTTTCTACCGTACGGGAGGACTGATAGGTGTAGCAGTAAAGTATTCTAGTCATTAGATAGGTTTGCTTCCGATAGAAGGACAAATCATGGCTGGAATAACAGATCGTTGCAAGAGAAAGAGGTGCAGTGTCCCGATATCCCGCATATCCCAGGTTATCAAGTTACAACTTCAACATCAGCCTAGTAGAATTGGTGTCGGCAATGAGGAATATCAAAGAAGCACGGTTTCTGAAACCAATACGATCAGATCCTAGCTAAAGGGATCCTAATCTGTGGTGTAAATTCCATGGGACTAACAACCATAGAACTGGGGACTACCGTCATCTTCGTGAGGAGGTGGCGACTTTGTTGAAGAATGGCCATCTTAGTGAGTTTTTAAGTGAGCGCGCCAAAAATAATAATGGTAGAACCTGGGATAATGTGGAGCCGTCAAAGACAGCAGGGTCACCTTGGATGATAATCAACATGATCTTCGGAGGAAACGAGATCAATGGAGTGACATTTTCGGCAGCAAAAAAGACAAAAAATATTGGTCACTCATGGAAAGAGAATCCGAGAAGCCGCAGAAGATGACATTACCTTCACGGAGGAAGATGTTGACAGGTTTTGTAATCTCTCTTATTGTTTTAGACTTCAAAATTAAGCGTGTTTTGATTGATCTAGGAATTTCAGCCAACATCATACAATGGAGGGTTCTAGAACAAGAGAAGTTGACCAAGAGCATCATTCTGGCTGCAAAACTTCTAGCTGGCTTTAACCTAACAAGTGTCACAACCCGAGGAGAAATTTTGCTTCCCACATACGCCGAAGGGGGAACTAAGACCACTTTGTTTGAAGTGGTAGATGGAAACTTGGTCTATAATGTGATCCTCAGAAGACCGTGGATACATAAGATGAAGGTTGTGCCCTCGACCTATCACCAATTGTTGAAATTTCCGACACTAGAAGGGATCAAACAGATAAGAGGAGACCAACTGGTAGCAAAAGAGATGAACAGTGTAACTATTTCTAGTAGTAAGGATAAAGAATACAACAAATAGTATTTACAGGAACATATGCCTTCTCCCATCCCAATCAAAGATGGTAAAAATGAGGAGTCATCCGAATTATATCAGGTGAAGAGATCTTTTTAGGTACCAGAGAAGACAAATGCGACAAATCAAACGCAGAAGATCTCGAACAGGTGGCATTGTTCGAGGAATTTTAGAAAGGAAATTCCACTTCGAAATGGGGTTGAGTCCTGAACTCAGGTTAAAACTTATAGATTTCCTTAAAGCTAACATTGACTGCTTAAAGTGGTCGTATTCATATACGACATGTATTCCATTGGAGGTGCCTATTCACAAACTAAGTCTGGATCCAAACTTCCCACTAGTAAGGCAAAAGAAACGGCCGATAGTAGAGGTCAGAAATAGGTTTGTTAAGGAAGAGGTAACCCGACTACTCAAAATCAGTTCAATTCAAGAGGTAAAGCATCTGGAATGGCTAGCTAACGTAGTAGTACCTAAAAAGAATAATAAGTTTAGGATGTGTGTAAACTATAAGGATCTAAATAAGGTGTGCCCTAAAGACTCATTCCCGTTGCCAAACATCGATCAAATGATTGATGCTACGGCCGGGCACGAGCTAATAAATTTTCTTGATGCCTATTCCGAGTATAATCAAATTATGATGAACCCGGAAGATCAAGAGAAGACCTCTTTCATCACAAACTTTGGCACAAGTTATTGATGCCTTTTGCTCTTCAAAATTTTGGAGCCACTTATCAGAGGCTCGTTAATAAGATCCTTGAAAAACAGATAGGTAAGATGATGGAAGTCTATATTGATGACACGTTAGTTAAGTCTCTTAATGTAGGTGATCACTTAGAACACCTCCAAGAGAAGTTTGACATTATGAGAAAGTACAATATGAAGCTCAACCCAGAGAAATGTGCCTTCGGAGTTGGCTATAGTAAATTCTTGGAGTTTCTGGTCTCATAAAGAGGGATCGAAGTGTACCCCGACAAAATCAAAGCCATCGAGGATATCCAAGACCAGCTAACGTGTGTGGAAGAGGTTTAGAGGTTGATCGGTTGGTTGGCAGCCCTAAGTAGGTTCATTTTGAGGTCCTCAAAAAAATTCTACCACTTCTATCACTTTTGAAAAGAAGAACGACTTAGTGTGGACTCCAGAACGCCGACATTTATTGAAGGACCTAAAAAGGTACCTTTCCATCCTCCGTTGTTGTCAAAATCGGGGGAAAATGAGCAACTACTAATTTACCTAGTGGTCTCAGAAGTAGCGGTGAGGGCTGTCATGGTTTGAGAAGAAAAAGGTACGTAATTTCCTGTTCATTATGCTAGTAAGATACTATCAGGAGCGGAGACACGATATCTACACCTCAAAAAATTGGCCTTAACTCTCGTAGTTGCCTCTAGAAAGCTTAGTCCTTATTTTCAATATCATCTAATATTCGTTGTGACAACCTTCCCCTTATGAAATGTCCTTCATAAGTCTGAGTTATCGGGTTGGTTGGCTAAATATGCAGTCATAGTTAGCGAATTCGATATGGAATACAAGCCCAAGACTGCAATCAAGTCACAAGTTTTGGCCGATTTTGTGGCCGATTTCAGTCTAGGATTAATGCATTTAGCTGCTAAAGAAGTAGTGCTGGTATTGGGAACAACATCGGGAGTTTGGACCTTGTTTATAGATGGAGCCTCCAACGTAAAAAGGTCCGGTCTCAAAGAGGTTCGAATCACTACTTCGAGGGAAACCCTGAGACATGCCATTAGAACGGTACTAGTAACTAACAATAAATACGAGTATGCGGCTTTGGTTGCAGGAATCGAATTAGCTCGTGGGCTGGATTCTGAGGCAATCGAGATAAAATGCGACTCCGAGTTGGTGGTAAACCAAATGTATGGAATTTTCAACATAATGGAAGAGTGCATGCAACAATACTTGAACAATGTTCAAGCATTACTTACACGATTCAGAGAATGGTCAATCGTCCACATCCTGAGGGAGGAAAACGTGGAGGCAGGCACATTGGCTAATTTGGGCTCATCCATAGAGATGAAAGAATCTTATTCCGGTAGTGTCATCCAATTGCTGCATTTGGTGTTGGATATGGACGAATACTATGAAGTCAATTCAACCAACCTAATTTGGGATTGAAGGAACGAGTTCATTGAATTTCACTGACATTGTAAATTACCAAAGGACCCAAAAATGTCTCGGGCACTATGGACCCAAGCAACCCGTTACTATCTTATTGATCGATAGTTGTACATGAGGTCGTTCCAAGGACCATTGGATCGATTTCTAGGGGCCTTGGAAGCAGACTATGTGACGAGGGAGTCCATGAAGGAATATGCAGAAACCACACCAGTGCAGACTCCTTGGTTCTCAAGTTAGTCAAGGTCGGCTATTATTGGCCCCGAATGGAACAAGACGCAAAAATATTCGTACAAAAATGTGACAAATGCCAGCGTCATGCACAGTTAGTGCATCAACGAACGGAATTGCTGCACTCGATGGTGTCACCGTCGCCATCTGTGAAGTGAGGGATGGACATAGTCAGCCCCTTACTGCAAGGGCCAGGGAAGGTAAGTTCTTTTGGTTTTAGCTGATTATTTTACTAAATGGGTTGAGGAAGGTCCTAACAAAAGATCAGAGAACGTGAAGTGGTTGACTTCATATAGGACGACATAGTCTGCCGATTTAGAATACCAAAGGAGATTAATTGTGACAACGGGCCACAATTCGTATGATCTAAAGTCATATAGTTTTTGGAAGGATTAAAGATAAAATGAGTTACGGCTTCTTTGTACCACCCTTGTTCTAACAGACAAGTGGAGTCAACCAACAAGGTAATTATCCAAAATCTTAAAAAGAAGTTAGAAGATGCTTAGGGCAAGTGGTTGGATGAGCTATCGGGTGTTCTATGGGCTTACTGGACCACAACAAAGTCAAGCATAGGAGAGACCCCCTTTTCACTCGTGTACGATTCAGAAACTTTAATACTAGTAGAGGTGGGGGAACCAACCTTGAGGCTTTTCCGAGCAAACGAAGAAGCAAACAATGAAGCGTTGCTAGTCAAGCTAGATTTGCTTGAAGAGCATCGGGATCTAGCATACGTGAGGATGGTGGCACAAAAGCAAAAGATGGAAAGATATTATAATCGTAGGCAAATCTCAGATATTTGAAAGAAGGGTTGGTTCTAAGGAAAGTCACTCAAAGCACCCGAGAGGTCAATGCCAGGAAGCTGGGATCGACATGGGAAGGACCTTACCAGGTTTCAGCTATAAATAGTAAAGGTTCATATGAGTTGGAAAACTAAGATAGAGTTAAACTGCCAAGCAACTGGAGCGTGACTCACCTCAAAAGGTATTATTGCTGAAGATCCTTGCTAGTATTGAAAGTATGTGCTGCACTTTTTTTCCCTTCGACCAGCTTTTGTCCTAATTGGATTTTTTTGGTAAGGTTTTTAATGAGTCAGCAACGTAAAGCATACTACGAAGGAAGGATCACCATTAAATCTAACAAAAAGCTATGTGCGGATCGACTCATATGGATATCAACCTATGGATGGTCTTTGGCCCTATAGCATAACTCCATAGTCTCATCGTCCTCCGTTAACAGATTGTTTATCCATCCACAAGCTATTTCCATTAATGAGGAAGCAACACAAAAGTTTGCTATAAAAGGAATATCATCGACGAATGCAAGACCTCCAGTGTTCGAATTCTCATGCTCAACATCCGAACACTGAGGGGGGGGGGGGATAATACATGAAAAAACACTAAAAGTATTATGAGGACCGGGGACTATTAGAACATGATTCAATGTCTTATCAAGACTGGGAACTGCATGATCAACTCCGTAGAAATAAATTGTTCAAGTTAGTCACATGTATTGGCAGCTTCATTTATTTAAGCAAATGAATATTTATGTAAATGTACTTTTAATAATAGAGGGAATAAATCAAAGTCCTTTTATTCTTATCTTATTTCTCGTCTGAATGATAAGTTAATTTATTTTATCTTTTGAAAGTTAACAAAAACATCAAATGCTTGTACCAGAATGAACATGAGACTCCTCTTCAAGAGCACCGTAAATATAAGGATCCTCTTTTATAAACCTTCATAGTAAAGGGTAGATTCCAGAATAATTTATGCCCAGAATCAAAGGCTATCGGATGCAAAAATATTCCTGAAGCTTTCTCAATTAAATGAAAAGGAATGTTTTTGCACAACACTTAAGAAAAAAGTTTTTTTCATTAATTAAAGTGCCAAAATTAGTAAAAACTATGGAATAATTACAAGGAAAAAATATATATACACAATCACACACACATCAACTCTTGCTGCCAGAATCCGAAGGGAGAGAGGAGTCTTCATTTTCTGTTTTAGGAGAAGGCTGTTGCCCCACTAGTTCGGGGCCTTCATCTTCTTCAGTTTCCACTTTGGATCCTAAATACTCAGAATTAGTAATCGAGGAGTTGGATACAGTGGGTCGAACATGAAGGTTTTTATGAGCGATTATCTCTAGTCCCCGGTCCAGAGCAATGCAGCCATCGATATTGGCAACGCCTTCTGTAACGACCCAACTGGTCGTTTTAAGAACTAACGTTCCGATCCACTATTAACTGCTTTTCTCGAGTTTGTTTCTGCCATTTTGAATCGCAGGTGCGGTCTGAGGCAATGTTGAATTTGGTCGCAAATGCGGCCCAAGTACCGCAGAAGCGGCACTGCATCTGCGGGTAAGAGGTCGTAGGTGCAGAATTGGTCCGTTTAATGAAAAGTAGCAGGTGCGGTCCATTTTCCATAGAAGCGGGACTGCAGGTGTGGTACCATGGTCCCAGAAGCAGTTATCGTTGGTCAAAAAAAGGGAAGAACGAGAGTTTGAACTCAAAACTACGAAAAACGATTTGGAGCTCAGTTGAGGGCGATTTCTCGAGGGTTTTTGGAGGAGAAACATTGAATTTGGGCCATTTGGAGTCGGGTACTCATGGCAAGAACGTGATTTCAAGTTGATTGAGCTGGTTAGAGGTA